GTGAAAAGAAGCTTAAATACCTCCTAAAACCTAGCTACCCAATCCCCACAAGGAAACTAAGTTAAAATAAAATAAGACTAGGAAATAAAGTCCAAATTGGATTAGGAGAATCTGCCCAAATCTGCCCAGCCACGTTTTGGTCTCAAATCTCCTCCAAATCTGGCCCAAGATAGCTCGTTTTAAAGATAAAAATATTCCGAACACTTCTCCAGAAGGCCACGAACCCATCCGAGGTCATCTTGGGCTCCAAAAACGCAATATAAGCCCAAAACGTCACTATTCCAGCACTGCACATCGCTCCTTCATTTATTCACCAGGAAATCATCGCTTAGTGTAAAAGTCTGATATTTTGATACGATCAAGCTAAGTGACTCACGTACGTCCTCCAACTGGAATTACTCCAAAATTCGTCCATTTGATTATGTTTTGCTCCAGAGAGAGTCGAAAGTCCTATATTGGAAATATAATTCAAAGTATCAAAATTCTTCCAAAATATTAACCAAAATATACTAAGAATAGGGTTAAATATATAATATAAAATCGACTCATCATTAGGTGTTCTAAGTGCGGTGCTAATTATGGCCGCAGGACAAAAGACTGCCCCGTGGGATACTACAATACATGTTGGTATTGTAAGAAAGAGCTCAACATGAGTTGTGACTGCCCCGAGAATGGTTAAGACTGCACATGAGTTATGACTGCCCCTATATATATAACTAGTGGAACTGTTTTCGAATACTAATATTAATTAGTGGAACTGAATCGCTGCTCCAATTCGATGAATTAGCAGCTTTTGTTCTTGCTATTGTTTATGCAGGTGTTTTAGTTTGGTTGACAACTTTTTCTAATAAAATCTTTAAATATCGTTCCTTGAAGATCCAAATTTCTGAATATCGTTCCTTGAATGGTGTCGCAACTGAATTACTTGCTCAAATTCAATAGCGAGGGCACTGAATCTCTTGAAATAAATAGCTATTCCTGCAGTTATCATATAAAGATCATTCATACATGAAATAGGCTGAAAGAAACATATTATTTAATTGATTCATCTCGACTAAAGTATGATATTTGAATATCACCATAAAATTTTAACATGGTATCAGAGCACCGGTTCTAGGGTGTCTCTTGAATACTATTTTTACAAACTCCTTTTATCTCCTAGGTTTTTCACAACCCTAGCCGCAACACCCAAGCATGGGTAACACCAAATCAAACACATATCGAACATCAGCTTCCGACAACGAATCCCCCAAGTTCACAACTGAAGAATAGAGTCAACTTAAGTCTCTTCTTCACAATGGTACAATATCTCCTTTTTGCGCCAGCGCCAATAAGTCATCACCATCCACAACATCTTGGATACTTGAAAGCGGAGTCACCGATCATGTTGCTCCTCCTTCTATGTTAAACACATTGAAAGTTGCACCTTTGTTTTCCCCATATTCGGTTTACATACAGGTAAGTTCCTGATGGTATGGTAATCGAGTTAATAATGGGCAAATTCCAGACCCTTTGGACCAATATGTTAGAACCTTTATACTACTAACAGTAAGTTATGCTTGATTCAGTAGATAATAAAAGCTTTGTATAATATGTCAGACCAAGGTGATGGTGACAAAATGTAACCATGATTCTTGCAGTAAACTTGTAATTTTAATCAAACGAGGTTTGATGTTGAAAGTTTGAGAAATTTTTATTATTTGGAGTTTAAAAATCCTTTCAAAGGCATCATGCATTATTTTTTTGGCCCTTTGTAACTAAAATAAATGAGTTTTTTTGGTCGAAATAAAATAAATGAGTATTTAAACAAGTTATTTGAATCATTTTGAAGTGTTAGAAATAAATAAATGAGTATATAATGACGTGAAAAATAACAAGTCTAATAATTCCTACCTCCAAGAAAAACTGTACATTAAACTGTTTGTTCTTGCAAAATTTAGTCTCAGCCAAAGTTTTGACGTTACAGAAATGGTGTTACAATTTACAATTCAATTTTTCTCGACTTCATTTTATCTGATCTTGACTTTTCTCCTTAGTTGAGCAGAAGCTTTCCATCACCAATTTGACTTCAACAGAAGAATTCTTGGCTTGGAATCAATTACCTATGATCATAGCAAACATATATGTCAACCTGAGAAGACCAAAGAATTGATCGATACGTAATTGGTTATTTAATATATTTACAGAAAAGATTAAGGACAACATTCGGTGACATTGAAGTGCCCTCTTTATCATCTGCATTTCACCTGCTAATGCAGTCACTTGTTGGTAAGAATCCGATCGATTTCACCATTCTTATTGTAGGTATCCACAATCTTCTTTGCATATGAAGGCATATGCTGATCAGCTCTGCATGGTTCATGTTTTCTTTTGGTAAATTGCATGTTTTCAAGTTTCGAATATAAGAAACCAGCATCACAGTTCTACTATCAGGTAACACATTGAAAGTTGCACCTTTGTTTTCCCCATATTCGGTTTACATACAGGTAGTTCCTGATGGTATGGTAATCGAGTGAATAACGAGCAAATTCCAGACCCTTTGGGCCAATCTGTTCAACAAGAACCAAGTCATAAAATAAAAGTTTGCATATAATTTTATAATTCCTACATCACTTAGAGTCCTTACCAAGTTTAGCAAGAAAGCAATCACATTGCCAACAAACTTTGGGGCAGGTTCAGGACCCTTTCCTGAGAAACAAGATTGTAAAAACAATGGTAAGCAGCATACATTTTGCGAGTCCTCCAGAATTTTAGATGAGCTATACAGCCTATATTACAAACCAAATGATTTTCAAGAAAAACTAGAGCATATTTTCTTCAGAAGATAGTCTAATACAGTGAAATGATAAACATTTCTATTCTTGATCCCATCAAGGGGAGGTCCTATTCCCTGAATACACCCATAAAAAGTATCACAAAGAAGATACAGCACGTACCCAACTTTGCATTATCATCTGCCTTAACAGTCTCCATGACAAATGGTTGGCGATTGCCCTGTAATTGGCCATGCTTAGAATACTTCATGCAAAGGAAACTATGTCCTATAAACATTAAATTTCAAATCGCAGAAATACAGAGAAAGAGAAATAGGATAGGATCAAGGTTTTACACTGCTAGTTGTTGGAGTAACCTCCAAAAGATTATCAACCAGATTGAGCATCTCTCTTCCACGTTCATTTCTACCATTTGAAGGCAAGAAAAAAATAGAAATCTTTATTTATTTCTTTCCTTTACCACCAAAGTGGAATAAAATATTGCAATAGCACAATGATAATCAATAAGCACAACGAAAAGCTGCACAGAGAGTCTGAGCAACGATATTACCTTACCGTAACATACTGTGGATGTTTAGTCATGCTGATTCCAGAATATTTTGGCACACCCATGTATCCCACAACTAAATCCTGAAATAGGTGAGAGACATGTGAGAACCTTTATACTACTAACGGTAAGTTATGCTTGTTTCAGTAGATAATAAAAGCTTTGTATAATATGTCAGACCAAGGTGATGGTGATAAAATGTAACCATGATTCTTGCAATAGACTTGTAAGTTTAATTAATTTTCATGAAGGTTATATACAGAGAGAGAGAGAGAGGATAGCAGCAGCAGTTGATTCCAAACAATTAGAAATTCCTTGTTTTTGTTGAATTGCATTTTTCATGTCTAAATGAGCTTCCAAGTTTTAATTTGATCATCAAACATAGTCCAATTTCATGTACAAATACCCAGTTTCAAAGACTTTCATCTATCTTTGACATAAAAGTCTTCCTGCATTCCATAATACATTATCCTTCATAAACCAATTACTGAATTGAGACAGTACAAAGTCTAATAACTCTCCCTCTTTCCCGCTCCCAGGCCAAAAAAGAAAAAAAAAACGAAACAAAAAGAAAAACATGCAAAAGCAATTAACTTAAGAAGAAATTTAAAATCAAAATACATGTTTATTTCTAGAAGTTAGTAAAAAATGAACTATTTTCAACAGAAAGTGTTACTTACGCAGTTTAACCAAAAAATGCATGGGAACAATGAGATGCAATCAAAACAACACATACTCCAAAAATAAAAAAATAGCATTCCCGTATCCTTGTAAAGATGAAAACTCACCGCTAAACCATTTGTATAATCGAAACAACTGCAAGACAAAAAAAAAAAGGGACAGGTTAGGAAAATATATGACAGATATAAACTATAGTATTTGATATATGTGGCATTTCTGTTTGTGAAATAGGTCATCTAATTGTAAGTTACTTGTTCAATCGATCTGAGGGAATTCACAAATGAAAAGTTAATAAATATGCAGCAGTACAGGTGGTGATGACAATGATACTTCTGCGTTTCCAATATCAAGCATGGTCCCTGAATCTTATTGACTATAGCTTCGGGGACATCTGGTACAATTAGAATCAGAAGTGGAGATTACCATGTATTTAACGACTCTCTCCTAAGGCCTCAAAAACATCTATAAAGTTCAATGCATGTGCACACAATGCTTTTGATAATGTCAACGTGTGTTGATTGCGTGTGTGTGTGTGTGTGTGTGTGTGTGTGTGTGAGGGAGAGAGAGAGAGAGAGCAATTGTTTATCTTTCCTTTTCTTTGCATATTTAGTGTACATCCACTGCAATCTTATCCTCAAGGTTGCTAGTCCTATTTACTTGCTGATGTTCTTTCTTAATATCTAAAGGTATGTCTACAGCAATTTCAGAAATCAATTTTCCTTCACCAAAACTGTCTATCATACCTTCTAGTTGTTGAATCTAATTCACATAAAAAATATTCAAAAACTACTAAGTATTACAAAGAAAAGGACAAACATTACCTATAACAAGAAGGAGCAATTACATCAACCAACTCATTTGCTGGCAGAGAGAAATATGGAACCTGCTTTGGTTAAAATATGAAATGAGATGAAGTAGCATGAATGGGAGAGTAAATACCAAATTGTTACGAGGACCACTTTTACCTCTTCAATATGACCATCCAAATGCTTCAAGTGAACCTATCAAGAGTACAGGAATAAAATTTAAGAAATAATATAGCCAACTAGCCTGTTAACAAATGCTCACCCTAGGATTAGTTGACATATAAGAAAAGATAAAACAATTAGTGTCCATTTTACTATCATAAGCATATAATCTAAAACAGATATAAGCCTGCCAGACCGCACCACTAAATTATTATAAAAGTAAAATAAAAGTATCCATGAAATCTTTCAGAAAATTTGTGAAAAGCCCAATCCCACAGAACTCATCCAAGGTTGATCCCCTTCTTCGAAACAAGATTATTGCTATAAATGTTAAACGAAGGGTGTGCAATGGCACACATGACCACCTTGAAACATTGCTCAGACCTTGGGCTCTTCTAATAATTGAAATTAGTACCTTTTATGATAACTCATCTAAATCCTGTACTATATACAGACCAAATACTCAATCGCCACAAAATCTACATAAAGAATTTCTTAGTGCAAACCTTGTAATCTTGCATAAACTCATAATGAAGAACTGTCTCCGGTTCACTACTTGCAGCCTTTAAAAACTTATCAAGCCCTTCTCGAGTCCCATTGTCCACTGTCAAACAAGAGCATCAGCACTGATACAAATTCTACTACTTGTTACTGATGTCATTTACTAGAATGAGGGCATTATATAGTTGTTGACTACACACATATTTAATAAATAATGATGCTGCGGTTGATGATATGATGATTATGATTACAGAGATAGTAAGATACAGTTTATTATAGTAGTTCATCTATGCCATGTTTAACATGATGTCATGGCAATTATATATATATATACATATATATATATATATGTTTCCTCTGGGGCCTTAAGTAATAGACACAAGTAAACTTGATGGCTAGACTACTCATCGAAATCGAGAAACATAAAAAATATAAATAAATAAAATGCATACGGCTTTTTACTAACCACAATTTGTGCCTAACACATAGAGCTTGTCCAAATTTAAATGGTGCTCCACAGATCGTAATGCTGCAGTTTAAGAAATTACTCTGCATTACGATAGTACCAAGTCACAACAGAGAAGGCCTGAAAGTAGAACTTGCAAGATTATATTATAAATGCTACCTTGCACCTGGCAACCCACACCACAGAATAGAAGTTTCTTTACACCTGCAGCCTATTTTACAGGAAAGGCAAACACTTGCGTCACTAAAACTCATAAGAAACGTGCAATTTTGTGACAACGAAGGAGCAGTGTAGAATAAACAAATGTGTGCCTGCACACACACATACACACATACATAGACCAAACAAAATGAACTTCTGAAGAGTGAAACCAGAACAGGAGTTATTATGCCTAAAATCTATAAACAAGAAACAAAATCTGAAAGGTAAAGAACAAACCCTCCAACATGGGAACCCACAAGTTAGGAACGCTAAAAAGCCATATACATGATAGACATACAACTTATGTTTTGTCAAAGGAATCTTCCTCCTCATTGGCAGTCCTAGCCACCTTCAAAATACTATACCCACAAAACTCCATTAACCAGTGAGTGTATGTATAAGGAACAGGGAAATCAGCACTGGGCGTCTAATAATGGAGGAAGTGTTACCCTCCAAAACTTTATGGAAGAAAAAGAGAAGTGCCAAAGGAGGGACCCCGTATTTGAATAAATTAGATCTGTAGTTATAGTCACAAGACTCACAACTAACAAGAAGCAATACCAACAATTGAGATTTAAGCTCCATAAAAGGATGGTCCATCACTTAAAGGACAGAAAAGTCCTAAACACCCAGACCACAAAGGATGCTATGCTCTTATTAAAGTTGACTCAACCACAAAGCATGTTCATTAAATGGCACAGGAAATAGTAAATTAAGATTTGTGTCACTAATGAAAAAGAAAACCAGCCACCTCAACTAGGGCAAGGGTATTAAGATTAGGAGATAATGTCGGCTTGACACCTTTAGCAGCTAGAACTTCCTCTGGTGTCCTGTTGAGTAGGGGGTAAAGAGAAATGACATAATGAGGATGGAATAACAATAACCAGAAACAAAGATTGTCATTGAGAAAAATCAAAATGGTAGAAGAAATTTGTCTCAAAGAAAATGAACTAGATGCAAACCTTGCTAATACAGGCCGTGCAGTAAATCTGTCGTTTGGGTCACTGTAATAATTAAAACCATATGATAATTAACATTACAAAAGGGGAAAAAGGTAAAAGGATTGAATAGGATAGATGAGTCCATAATGTCATCCACTCCAGTAAATTCAGGCCAGGACCTCTGTACACAAATTACGGCTTCTACCATGCCTGATTTTAGCATTTCTATTGCAATAGTTGTTACTATTCCTGTCCACTGAGCTCCTGCCATCAAAGAAAGCAATGCAACATTTTCATATTACAGTGACGAGAAAAATCAGACGAGACACAAAAGATGCACTACAAAGCATTTGACTCAAGAAATTCTGACACACGATAAAGAAATTATTTACACAAATTGCAATTTATTATGAGAATTCATAAAGTTCAAAATTTTAAAAGTTAAATAAATAAAACTCAAACTTAAACTGGAAAAGTAGGTAGAATTCCTAGTAATGAAAAATGGGATGACTTAGATGCCTCAGATGAGGTTCTACAAACTAACACTACCAATCTCCCTTGACAGTAGACTAAAACAATAGCGATGATGAATGACTGATAAAACAAAATTACCTTCAACAGGCATCACTTTACGAGCATACAACAACTCCTCATAGACACCCAAGTACATTTCATCCGAGGAACCTGTTTTTCTCCCTCTACCATGAACTACAGGTTCCAAGCCCTGAATGGGAAAACAAAAGGGTACATGAATGCTGGAATATCATTGAATTAACCAACAACGCTAGGTTACTATAAAGTATAAAAATCCAAAGCTATGTAATTCCACAAGTCTAGATGATGATTTAGTTAAATATGAAAAGAAAACTAATAGTAATGATAATAAAGAATTCTAATGACAACATTGGTTGTAGTTCCACAAAGAAACAACATTGGTTGAAGTAAAAATTTGGTCTCGTAGCACCTCTAACTTGAATTTCAAGAATCAAGACTGATGAATAAAATGGAAATCATGCATGGCAATGGATCATTAAAAAAATTATATTTTGAACGCAAATTGAAGTTCGATCGTTCCACTGCACTTCATATAAGCACTTCAAGGTGTTTGGTACATGGTATTAGATTACTCCAGCATTTACTGTGCTCTAAATTAGTTTCAGGATTTCAAGAAATGACACCAACTTCCATCTACTATTTAAGAGTAAAAATTCAATGAAAGTATGAAAAATTGGGAGAGGAACAAGAACTTACTTCAATCTTAGACATTCCATCTCCTAAGAAAGCACAGGCTTCCTTGACATGGGCAATGTAATATGTGTCGCACAACCCGCAACGACTACCAAAAGACAAGATTCAGAAAATAAAGAAATAAATAAAAATTCAAACTTTAAATGCAAAAATTCAAATTTATAAAAATTAAAAGTGGGGTAATGAAAGGAAGTGAAAGAGCTTCAAAAATGAACCTGCAGTGGTCTTTAGCCGGGTAAGTGCCACCAGAAGGAATGGGTCTGGAGCGTTGCCTCCAGTCCTCTCTCAGCTTCACTGACTTTGAGTTGGGTTTTCCATCTGTTCCACCACATAACACAACACAAACTTTGCTGTGAAACAAACACACAGATACACAAACAAAGGCGCACACAGAGAGTTTTGGGGGGTACCTTTAGAGGAAGAGGAAGAGGAAGATGAAGATGAAGATGAGGAAACAATGGAGAGTGAGAGAGGAAGGGAAGAGAGCTTGGCAATTAGAGAACACATTGCAGCTGAGAGAAACCCCAAGCCAACAATAATGCAACTGAAACGGAGTGAGAGTGACTACAATGTGCTGAGGCTGTGTGAGCCACATATTTCTTTCTAACAGTCTGCCCTGGTGCTTTATAAGATTTGGTCACTCGTGTGACCGGGTGCACCTCTTATTTTTCAACAAGTTTTTTGTTTTACTGGGTTATGTACTCAAACGGTCCCAAGTTGTATTTTGGCCCATCAACTAAATTATTCGTTCAAATAGTCTACTAACTTTTAATTAATCGGCACATTGATCTTACCGTTATATTTTAACAAGGGTAAATTACTCAAATGGTTCTCAAACTTATACCCGATTTACATTTTGTTCCCTCAATTAAATTTTAGTAAATTTAGGTTTTAGTCAAAAAAAAAAGGGAAATGACCCTCAGTGCCACCCCTTTAATAATTTTAACTAAAAATGCCATCCCTTCCCAATTTTTTTATAACTATCAACTATAAATATAAAATTATTGTACCCTTATTGCTCTCCTAACACATTTTCTGAAATTGACTTCCCGCCCATCAGCTCTCCGTCGCTCAATCTCTTCATCTTCACTCTCTGGTCACTCTGCTCTCACTCTCTCGTCTCTCAGCTCTAACTCTCTCATCTCTCGTCGCTCAGCCGTCACTCTCGCTTCTGTCTTCCTGTCCCAGCGAAATCTGTGCATCGAAGAACAACGCCATCATTCACAGCAAACAGGTACTGTTCATCGGAATTCTTTTACGGCTTAGGGTTTATGGGTTTGTTTGAAATTGGTTGACGGGGTTGTTTGAAATTGGTTTAGGGTTTGGGGGTTTCTCTGAAATTGGTTTAGTGGGTTTTCTGAAATGGGTATAGGGTTTAGGGGTTTCACTAAAATTGGTTTTGCTTTAACTCTGTTTGCTAACTTAAGGGCTTGCATATTGGATATGGATAAGTTCTCTATGTTTTTCATATTCTCTTGTGATTATTTGGAATTTCAGTTTGGGGATGAATATTCAATGTCTAAACAAAGGGCAAGGAACCATATGTGGTGTAATATGAGTTCTTTAAAAGTTTGCTGTTTTGTGCTTGATCATTGTATGCTTAAAACAAAGCGGGAAATGAGTGAAGATGGGAACATGCCACCAGCAGGTGTGGTTTAGAGAAATGGGGCCATGGATTTTGCTATAAGCTAACTCTTTAAGCTTTTGCTTGTCTTTTTTGTCTATGGATAGTTAGACAACTCTGTTTATGAGGTGAACTTTTAATTTTTTAATTGTACATGTGTAAGAAACATTTTTTACAGTTTTGATGGTTTATTTATTCATTTATCTTTGATATTGATAACACATACAATACATACAAACCTCTGATTTTGTTAAGGAAAAACTGAAGGGATGGTGCCAATTTCATTAATTTCCTTACATTTGAAAGGAGGGCATATTGGAGTCATGATTGTGGTTGCCACTAATTGATAGGATGTTCCATGACATTATACGTTGAAGTCAATAAATTGTTTCCTGCTGTCTTCTTGTTGAATTGTTCTGAATTAGGCTTCTGCTACTGCACATTCCTATTGTAGCTTAAGCTGTCATGATTATCATGGTTGTCACTGCCTTCCATTAAATATCTTGACATTGCTGGAAATAAACTCACTGGACTTCTCTATAAGAACATGACTTGCAATTCTGAGCTTGCTTTTGTCAATTTAGAGTAGTTTAGAATATTACTTTTGTCAGAGAAAAAAAACATGGCCTTTCATTGGCCAACTGGTCCTATAATGAGAGTTTGTGTCATAGAAGAGCTGGTTTAAATACCAAATAATACATGTTT